CCTGTCTGTCTAGCAATTGATTTAAGCTCTTTCAGTTTAGCATCATCATAGTACTGGTTGTGTCTGACCTGTTTACCAGTACTTCTTTTTGTTTGGCGTGACTCACTATTTTTGATGGCCTCATAGGTATATGGGTACATCCGGTCTCTTACCCTCGACCGCGTCGGTACCTTTATGGTCAGGAAGCCACGGATATTTACAATGGGGCTCGGTCAGTCAATATGATTCCTTTGACATCACTCAACTTATGTATTCTGTTCTCGTATTGACAATTTGAATGATATCAAGAATATTTTGAATATCTTCTGACATAGATGGTGCTGTAGTTGATTGTTGTTCATGACCTGTCCAGTGGGTCGAGACTGGTCTCATTAGCATCTCTCAGATTAGTGGGAAGAAATTCTTGCTGCAAGAATGTGTGTTCTCAGAGCTAACTAGGGTAACTAAAATACTTATTTCCTAAATAAATACTTTAATTGTAAATATTTGAAAATATATGGTATGTTTCCGAATTTCTGACGATATTAAACATATTGTGGTTTATAATTAAGTTCTTAATAGTGATCCTATCCTGCATCATAATTTACATAATATCTACTTCTGTTTTGTGTATTAAAATGACTACTTTTTATGTTAATTTATTTCTGTAAATGATGATGATGATAAAGTTCAATAAATGTAAGTAAGAACATAAGAATGAAGGTAACTGCAAAAGACTTATTGGCCCATACGAGGCAGCTCCTCGTATGGAGCTGCCTTTGATAAGTAATTACCAAAGAAGGCACCAAGCCGGGAAGGCTGTGTAGCACAATAAAATAAGTCTACTGCTCCTGAAGAGGACGGTATTACTTACAGTTTACTGAGATTAGTCTCACAAGTACCAGGTAATCCACTTTTAGTGTTGTACAGAATGAGTTTAAGTGAAGGAGTATTACCTGATGATTGGACAGTGTCATTGTTCCCATCCCCAAAGCACACTCAGATAATTATAGACCCATATCTCTAACATAATTTTGTCTATTAGCACAGTTTTCGGCGTGAATGCATTTTGGTTCTACAAGGTAGCCAACTCCATCAAAATATTAAATATGTACCCAACTCAATTAACGATTAATCAACCAATTACTCCATGGGATAACTTGGATCTAGCAGTTGATTTTGTAAATGCACCCAAGAAAGATAATGTACACTCTACATTATTAAAACAGTTAACACTGTGAAGCATCACTGAAAGTACTCAGAGTATGGGTAACGATGTGTATCAGTGCTATACCGACGGTTCTGTAGAAGAAGGTGGATGATGTACCGGATGTGCATGTAATATATTTGAACAATCTTCTCTCGTACATACATGAATGAAGCGCGTCAATGATTGGGCAAGTACAACTCAAACCGAACTTGCATTCATATACCTTGCCACTGAATTTTTAAAACACAAAGGCAGTCGACTTATATACTGTGATTCGCAGAGTGCACTCCTGGTATTGAACGCACATAGTAGTGACACCCAGAAAATAGTCAGTGATATTCGAATGAATATTTTAGCTGCCAAAGAAAAGAGATTTGAAATTAAATTCCTATGGATACCATCACATGTTGGCATCTCAAGGCATGACACTGTTGATATGCTTGCAAAGACAGCCTGTAGAAAACCAGTGGTAGAAATTTATATGGGTGTTTCATTAGCAGTGACAAAGAGAATACTTAAGCAAACATCTAATGAAAATCTCACCGACCTAACAAATTCACAAAGACCTGAAAATTGTAGCATTAAATATTATGATAGATATCGTGCGGAGACATTCACATACAGGATTAATGGAACAAGAACCCAATGTGATGTTATAGTGGCCATAATACGCTTGGGATATAGACGTATCTGGCAGCTTTCTCAAAACCCAAATGTCGAGTACACAATGTGTCAACTTTGTAAAAGAGAAAATATGCACTCCCTTGAACATTATATTGTAGAATGTCCCATACTGACTGACTTTCGCCCTCCTGGGCTAAGGTATGCTGAACTGTGTAATTACTATTTGAGTACTGGAACACTTGATGATATATTGAACTTGTACCCTAGATTGACCATGTAACGTATCAATTATACAATGAATGTATGTGATGTAACTCTATAACCTGAGCTTGTGAAAGCACCTTAATCACCTTCAGTGATTAAGTGCTTAATTGCACACTAGTTTCTCTATCAGTTATCTCACCTTGTCAGAGTAAAAGAGACAAATATATGTGTATGTATGTGTGTATATATGTATGTATATATATATGTATATGTACGCATACGTCTGTGTGTGTATATGTATGTGTATAAAGTATATGTGGAAGCTGGTCAGAATTCAATTTCACCTTTGTAAATGCACGTTAATGACACTATGTAAAAGACACATCGAACACTTTATGTAGGGCATACGTAAATCTGTGTATTTATGTATTTACGTATGTAGCTTAGCCTAGCATTTTAAAAACACTACAATCACCTTATGTGGTTAATTGTTCAATAAATCCCTGACCTATATGTTTAACAAATCTCTAACCCTATCAATGGAGTTAGTTAGTTTAGTTCTTATATTATGCACCCTATACCCATCTTGTGGGCGGTAGTGGAAAGGGTTAGAGTCCATGGCGGACTGAAGAAAATGTATATATGCTGGTTAGCATTGTTAATGTGTGGCCACGTCTGTGGTAGAAAATAATACAAAAAATCAAATAAAGGTATTATTGAAACTTTATAGGAAAACATTAAATGCTAAATATATCTTTAATATTATACTTGAAATATTGTATACTTTGCTCTTTCCATCGTACTTCTGCACCTGCTGGCAAGTGGTTCGGTGCAGTGTGCAGGTGATGTTCATTACTGGGTGAGCTGGCAGGTGATGTTCATTACTGGGTGAGCTGGCAGGTGATGTTCATTACTGGGTGAGCTGGCAGGTGGTGCTCACCTGCCAGCTCACCCAACGAAAATTTGGTTTTTAATACACTTACACATTTATTGGGTCTTTCCTTCACTTTCATTCAAGCACTAGGGTATTACAGTAAGTGTTTTAATTATAATATTTATTAACGTTATTATTTTGAATTTTTATTATTATTAGTATTATTATTAACAGGAGAGGAGTGTGTGTGTGTGTGGGGGGGGGGGGGGGTATAATGGTACACATGTCCACATCCCAATGCCCGCCCTTCCAGGACTGGGGGTGCGGGGGTGTACAATAAACTATACCCACATCCGGCGGCAGCTTGTCGAAGGCGGAAGTGTAGCCTAGACTATTTGTCATGATAATTAGTGATGACTCTTATTTTGATTATGGGTCCGTAATCCAGCTAAGCTTTTATTCTTAATTTATATTACAATGCTGGTAAAATACACTTCTTGATGATGAGTATGGAGTACAAATGAACTCATTGTGTACCCAAGTTCAAGTTCAAGTGTGTTTATTGAGATAAGCAATAAATACATCTCAAAGGGATAGAGTAGCTTAGGCTATTTCAACCCCCCTCTAATTCAAGTCCCTCAAGGGGTGCACAAATACTGTGACTACAAATAGACAAATAACATTACAAGAATCCAAACAAGAATTGTGTACCCTATACTCACAGGATGAATATAGGGTACACAATAAACTACCACTCACATCATGGGTATGGGTTGCACAAGAAACTATCGCGCAGAGGATGAATATGGAGAGCAAAGTAAACAAAGATTCACACGATGAGAAAGGGTTGCGCAATGTCCTATGACTCACAGAATGAGTATTAGCTGCACAATAAACTACAGGTCACAGGATAAGTATGGGTTGCACAATAAATTACAGGTCACAGGATGGGTATGGGCTGCACAAACTACCGGTAACAGGATGAGTATGGGATGCACAATAAATTACGGGTCACAGGATGAGTATGGGTTGCACAAACTACTGGTAACAAGATGAGTATGTGGTGCACAATAAATTACCGCACAGAGGATGAGTATAGGGTGCACAAACTGGTTGGGTAAATGGAAATGGTTGGGTACATTTCCTTTCACCTAATGCGACTATTCATGTGTCCGAACACCGGCGATTGTGTGGTATTGGCTATTTATTTAACCATAACTTTGCATTCATTTAATAATTATATTAAGACATGTTTTCCTTGAAATGTAGTTACATTATCGTCTACATGGCTTTATTCTGACATAAAGACCTATGGCGTTACTTTGCATATATGCAAAGTAATTATAAAATTGATTGGCTTGTGTGGAGGCCTTCACACTCCCTGAGCGAGCCATCAAGTAACTATAAAAAGGCATATATCTTAACTTTCAATTCAGTTATATTTATGCCAAATTATTAACATGCAGCTTATATTTATGTCTTTATGATGACATAGAAAACTTCGTTTATTACAATATCTAGATTAAATTAACATTGATCTTCGGAAGGTCATAGTTCCCATATCGGTAAGGAGAGCGTCGGCCATGAAGCCTTGTTTAAAGTATGAATATTTTTCCTCTCTAATAAGGTATAATCTCTGTGATGGATTCACAAAAACTATTTTATATCTGCCTTTCTGATAACATATACAAATATAATCTTTATTTGTGAATATTTCTTAATTAAGCAATATATCAGAGGGCGTGTAGGGTTCGGTGTTCAATGAACGAAAAGGACTGGATCACTGTGTACAGGAGGCTGATATGGCAGCAAACACTCTCCTGGCGACCATATATCTTGGATAAGTCGCTCCACACAATTGTCGCTTGGACCGTCGACTTCCTATGGCGTCACCTCTCACATATTTACGTCTAATTTCGTTATGAAATTAGATTATTTCAGAGTAAAAATAGGTTTGATCATGTTCTATGTGTAGCACCAACATTATAGTAAGTAAATATACCATATTTCTTCATTACTTACGTAATGCTAAGACGATTTGGGTAGTTTTGGGCTGATTTGGGTCGATTTGGGTAATTCTATGGACCGGATAAAAATATTGATATTATCAGCTATATGACCCGGTGTTATTGAGGGTGGGACCTCAGGCCGCCACTGTACGAGCGGTACTCAAACTTATTTACTTATGTATTTATTTACGTATTAATTTATATAATAATTTAATTCATTGTGTCAGGGGACAGGCAGCCAATATACACACACATTAGAAAGAGTTTATTCAGTGTCAGAGTAGTTAACAGATGGAATGCATTAGACAGTGATGTGGTGGAGGCTGACTCCATGTTTCAAATAAGATTATAACAAGGGTTCGACCATAGCCCCTCAACAAGCTAACTACTGGATACCTATTTACAGCTAGGTGAATAGGACCATGAGGTGATAGGAAACGTATCCAATCATTTCTGTCCTGCCCGGGATTCTAACCCAGAACTCTCGTTTGTGAGTCGAGAATGAACCCTATTACTACCAGAACAATTTTATGAGTTATTTTCTATAGGTTAGGTTTAAAGAGAAGTAAATGTCATAGATTATAAATATAAATTATAATTATATCATTATTATTACAGCTGGGGCGAACTTTAAACAGTTCTTCGACTACACTCCATTGGAAGGTGTGTGTATCAGCTAGGTAACGTGATAGACTAGGCAATCTACTTCAATTTGCACCTAATATCCGTCTAAATTTGATTTTATTAAAGAGTTGACCAGAAAACAGTATACAGTAGTGTCAACTGGTGACAACATGTAGGGTTGCAAAATGGCAAGTTCTGAACATTACTGAAAATGTTGAACTGCGGTACCTTATAAAATTAACTTACCCAGTAATAAGGCTTTTGCTAAGTGTTGCAAGGGCTGCAGTGATCAATCAGGGAGTTTAGTACACCCTGACTATAGTACTTGTTTGGGAAGAGTATGTATGGTCATATTGTACACATTTTATATGCTCCATATTTTGTATTTTGTAATTATTCTGTGCACACACTATCAGTGTCACACATTTTTTATCTTATATCTTGGGTTAGGTTTTAAAATCTATATACAAGTTACCACTTGTATATTGATTTTAAAACCTAAAATATGGCACATAATATTTCCCCTGTTTTTAATAACCAAGTACAGTGGTACCTTAGCTTACGAATTTAATCCGTTCCCAGAGATGGCTTGTGAGCCGAATATTCGTAAACTGAGCGAATTTCCCCATACGAATTCTGAAGGTACAGCATACATATATATGACGTATGCTGTACCGTCTAACTTTTTTCTTTGTAAATTCACTAAATTTATTCACTTCTAGTTATGTGTAACATGTAAATGTAACTTGTTTATACAGTAATTGTATTTTAAAAAGTATTTAATGCATCTTACAATATTACAGAATAAGAAAACCAATTCCACGTCAATGAGGCACAATTGGCTGTGCTCCAGCTATGTCTATGAACCTCAGGAGAAAGAGTAAACAAGATGCTGCTTGGGAGGTATGCAGTTGAATTGTATTGTTAATTTTTCAGGATATACAATACTGTATTTGATAATTATCAACTAAATCATTTATGTCAAGATCCTGCCTATAGTAGTTGAAAACTGCTGGCCTCACCTACGACATATATTATGCAGATTCAATTCACACTTCTCCACCGACTTTTAAGTTTACTTAAACTGCTTCTAATTTTGGCATTAAACTTCTCTCAAATATTTAATAATTTTATAAAAAAATCTTACTCGCCTTCATTATCAAAATAACCATGAACTAAAAGTGCATGGAGACATGAAGACATTCACTATTCAAGTCATGTAATCATAACTTGATAATGGTCCATGCTGGGACCATTTCCGAAACTTCAATTCTTTTATTTTCAGATTTGCGTATTGGGTGTTACCAGTGTTATACTTGAACTTACAGTTTGGTAAATTTGTAAAGTATTGCTGTTGTGCTTTAGGCATATAATGTTTACATACTGACCAACTGATTTATGTGGGTAAACATTTTTTAATACTTTGTACACACTTGATTTAAAGTGCCAATGTGAGTATATACTGTATAGATGGTATTTATTTTCACAGGTAAATTGCTGAATGTTTTTGTTTCAATCCAGTTTATTTACAATTTCAGGGATGGAATACAAGACAAGCCTGCCTTGGGGAATTTTTGCCCCTGTCTCCTGAAGTATCATCGAGTCAGTACTCTGCAATTGAATGGTCAAGCAGTGATGAAGAAAATGACCAGGACAGACATGAAACCAGTAAAATTACTTCAGTTCCAGGAATACGAGCCATTCACTTGTCAAAAAAGAAACCACAATTGTCAGCTTTTCCAAATAAATTGGAGTGGAGGGCTGAGCCAACTAAAGGTAACTCACTGAAGGAAAAGTCAGAAGCTAATGAGTTATATCATGCAAAATCATCAGATCCCAGATTGCCATCTGACTCCCCAATATTAAAAAGATCTCGTATAGCAAATGTAAATAAGTTTCCAAGCCTTACAAACCAGAATAAGAATTCAGATAGTATATCTTTGACCATATCTGATAGCCATCAGTATAACAGAGATTTTAATAGTGACACAAATTTCCACACTGCTTCACTTAAGACTCCTGAGAAGGCAAAGGATGACAACACACTATGCAGTGATACAAACTTGATATCCCCTATTATAGGTTCCCAGCGTAGTACAGCAAAAGGACACATTCCAAGAACATCTATTAACGATAATAGCAATATTATCACAGAGCAATGTTCTCCTGTTCTCAGATCACAAAATATAGTAAAACGAAAAATGGTATTAAGCAAGCGACATTTAGCTAAAAAAAAAATCTTTGATTTTGCTCCAAAAGAAACAAAAGGTGATAATGTAATTCCAGAATTATGCAGAAACCAGACTGGAAATGAAGTCCATACACCTGCTGCAGAGATCAATAAAAATGAGGATCCTGTACAGTCTAAAATCAAGAGAAGAAACCTGAGTCATGCATTTTCTTGGTTGGAACATAAAAAACCTAAAAGTAATGAAGAAAATAAGGATAATATAAAATTAGATCATATACCAAAACAAGCATCTTGTGTGTATACCGAACCTCAAAAAATCAACACTGATTCATGTTTAATGAAGAAAAGAATGTATATTGATAAAGAAGTAACATACCATTGCTTAAAAATTGGTAATGATGAAGAGAGAGATTGGCATTTAAGAAATAACTCTCAAAATCAGAAAGCTTCTAGATTCTCAGCTCTTAAAGAATCTCTCCTCCAGGATGAAGAAGACACTTGTGGTGATGATGTTGACATTGAACAAAGCAGTTCACAAAACAGTATTTTAAGGAGTGAAGTTGCCGATAGTCAGTCAGATGTTGGAATTGACAGTATTGCTTCACCGTGGAAGCAAGCGTCGGACAATTCTGACAAATCTTCTCTGGTAAGAATAATACTGTATGTCATTGACACTAAATAAACTTACATTTTAACCATTGAATTAGTAGCGGGTTAATTAACTTTCTCACCTATGTAAACATCAACTGTGAGGAAGTGAAAGAGGTACCCACACTGATGGATTTTTTTTTTTCTAGGCTACACACTTCAACATTAGCTTGTGAGCTGTTAAAACTTTCCCTACTTTTATAACTTCAAATTTGAATATTTTCCTATTCTTTGTCTTCCTTTCTGACCTATTTAAACCTACTCAGGTAATACTAATTTTATCTATGCATTATTGTTTCTAACCATAGCAAAAAAAAACATAAACTATATAGTAGAAATCTTATGTAAGTATTTAAATTTTTCCATTAAATTTTTAATGTACAACAGTTGATTGTACACCATTTGTACAATCTGTACACTAATTGATTGAATCTGTACATCAGTTGATTGACAGTTGAGAGGTGGGACCAAAGAGCCATAGCTCAACCCCGACAAGCACAACTAGGTGAGTACATATCTAGGGAATGAAGCACATTTAGTCTGACTCATAGTCCTTTGATCAGAAGAATGACTCCAAAGGCCACATTCACCTTGCCTATTAGTGACTATAGAGTGGGGCAATCTCTCTCGGTGCCCTGCCTACTATCTTGCAAACCACTCCACTATGTAAAGGTTCGTGTGGGGTAATGAAATAAACAGAGCTGGTCACTGTCTAGTCAAGACCTTGGGCTGAGTTAACTCTTCTTGCCTGGTAGTTATTATTAACAACAACTACGGGAATAGCATAAAAGATGTACTTTATATTTGTGTAAGTTGAACAAGATATTATACATGCCATTTTGTCCGGGCCTAAACTATTACAGTTCTAAACAACAGAGCTGTAAACCTTATCAACACTGAGATAATATACATTCTGTGTTGCACAAGTTGAAGATTTAATTGAAATGACTTGCTGATAATTTGAAATACAGTACAGTTAAAGTAAGGGAAATGTACATTTATGAATATTTAATGTCTTTAAAGTAAAATTTACAACTGTACTTTTAATTTGATTATTTTTATGAAATGAGGTGAAAACATAGTAATACTGTAAACTTATTAAACTTAATAAAAATTAATATTGTATTATACTAGGGTAAGAGACGTCACTTATTTTAAGCAATACTACTGTACCAAACATTCTAAATTTAAAAACATTAGACTAAGTACTGTATATGCAATGAAAGTTAACAAACTTGTTTGTTAAATAAATGTTTTTAACAATTTGTCTATTCGACATGGACACACACACACACATCTATAATTTACATAATAAGCATGCAAAACATATTAATATGGGAATGATTATTTCAAGGCGAGTTATGATGCCGCCATCTCTGTCGAGTCAGCTCCTTCATCTGCCCCGGCAACCATGGCACAGGATGAGAAACTTGTAACTGGTTCACATTGGATCAGAACCCTCCAACAACATACACCAGAAAAGCCATCACGTGGAGGAGCGACAGAAGGTGGGATGGAATCAGCCAAAAAGAGAGCAAAAAAGTATGTCTAATTTCTTTTGTTAGTCTTCAATATCTAATGAGAATATAGTACTGTATTCACATTCATAAATTGGGACTACAGCATAACAGTTAATTATGAATGTATTCCTATTTCACAGGTTGATACCATAAAATAAAAATACCAAGGTCAAAAGTTGGTAAATATTAAAAGGAAACAGCCTACTTTGGATTGAATCAATTTAATAAAACTTTGTTATAGAAGTGGTAGCTCTGTAAACCAGTACAAGTGGAACTGCTCGAAACCCAGTAGCTCTCTACTCTTCCCCAAGGCTCTATTGTTGACTTTATTAGAATGATTAATTTCCTTACATACAAAATTATGTATGTACTATGTATTATCATCACTCTTGCCTATAATATTGTTTGATGGAATATATACCCCTGTACTTTTTTCTTCAGAGATGGCCACGGTGAGAGACTACGTCGACTGATACTGTCGTGGCAGTCCAGTGTTCACATGTGGGCCCACCAGGTCTCTCTCACTAATGCACATTGCCAATATACTGAAATCTTAAAGGATAAATTTCAGACTAGACAGGCAAAATCTGTGGCACACACTTCCTATGCAGGAGTTACTGTGAAGAAGGAAATTTTGATGGATAGTTCTAGTAAAAGTTTGCTATCACCAGCAATTAAGAATTTGCAAAATGCTCTCATAGAAAGTCCTGTATCATCTCCTGCTGCTTCAGGGTTAGCGAGTATACAGCACCACTTGCAGATGCCAAAAAGATATTTAGAGGTTAGGATTGTGAAAGTTGGTGGACGGTTGCCGAGCAATGCAGCTGTATGTGAATTAATCCTCCGAAGCCCTGACACGGAAACTAATATAAAACAGGAAAATGAAAAGGAAACGTGTAGATACAAAGAAAAATATCTTGTGTTTTTTGCTTTGCAAGAGCAGAAAGTTAGCATCACCCTGCATGTAAATGATGTGGCCAAAATTTTCTCCCCATGGTAAGTATTACTTACATCATATTTAGAATAATATACAGTATTATAAACAATGCATGTGCTTATCCTGTAATTAAATAAAAATGAACTCACTGCATACTAATAATGTTGCATTTCATTAACTCAAAAAGAGTGGTGCATGTAAACTTTTTTTTCCAAAGAATATATCAACTAACAGTCAGTATCCTGACAGAACATAGAAATTTTGCTGATGATTACTTTGTTGATCTTGCTACCTTTTGTAAAGCAGCAGTCATTTACAAGCACTTACGGGAATTTGTCCTCCTCGATATAACCTCTGGTTTACCTTGTAAACCATGCCCTCCTCAATATACATTGAGCATTCAAATTTGTTTTGTTAAAGAAATTGGATAGGATAAAGAATTAATACATGAAAAAGGTAAAAACAGTAATGTTAGGAAGTTATTGATAAGTTTGAGAATGTGTAGATGATTACTTAACCTAATGTAATTCAGTGTGATTGTGGACAAAAATAGAAACTGGAGAAACCATGTGGTGAAAACATTGCTATACTTGCTTAGCAAATGCCAAGACCTAGCTCTGAATCCTGGTCAGGGCTGAATGATTAGGCACTGTTCCTTCAATCCACTGATCTCTGTGTATCCAGCAGAATTGGAGGACTTGGATATAAAAAGCTGCTCAGTATTTTGAGAAAATATTGCACTGAATAACCTAACCGGTTCCACTACCAGACCTAGTCTCCAACATATAAATAAAAAGATAGAAACCATCGTTTGAAGTGCATATGGTCTCATTCTTCAATGAGTTACTTTCTTGGAGGAAACAGAATAGGTAGTTAGTGTGTGTGTGTACTCACCTAATTGTGCTGGGGTTGAGCTCTGGCTCTTTGGTCCCGCCTCTCAATCGTCAATCAACAGGTGTACAGGTTCCTGAGCCTATTGGGCTCTATCATATCTACACTTGAAACTGTGTATGGAGTTAGCCTCCACCACATCACTTCCTAATGCATTCCATTTGTCAACCACTCTGACACTAAAAAAGTTCTTTCTAATATCTCTGTGGCTCATTTGGGCACTCAGTTTCCACCTGTGTCCCCTAGTGCATGTGCCCCTTGTGTTAAATAGACTGTCTTTATCTACGCTATCAATTCCCTTGAGAATCTTGAATGTGGTGATCATGTCCCCCCGCAACTCTTCTGTCTTCCAGCAAAGCGAGGTTAAATTCCCGTAGTCTCTCCTCTGTGTTTGTGTATGTATACCTAGATTTCATTGAGCATTGGTTAAAAATAAGTATTTTTAGTGGTGTTCTTTAAGCTTTGCTACACCTGTTCAATATATATTAATTAGAAACGATACAGGGTTGCAAGTTACAGCAGTTTATTGTTCTGTCATACATAAATGGTTTGACATGAGCCACTGCAGATCTCTATGGTCATCTTACTAATACCTGACACCTATGTTGCAGGCATCAACTAGATCTTCCTTCCTACAGCATCCCCACACTATTTACGTCGTACTTTATCATGCATCAAAATGACCTTACTAGAACTACAGAGCAGGTTTTGAAAGATGACAGCAACTTGGAAAATCATGTAAAGACTGGTAGTGCAAACAAAACCTTGACATCATTTGTAAACAAATCAAGACTAAAGAAGAAGATAATTCTGACAACTTGGGCCTGCTTATGTTCAAGAGGTTGGTATTAATTATTAGCTGTACCACAACAGGTCTGTTAACAGAGAGAATGTTGGCTGATTAGTACCAAATGAGAACAGTGATGAACAAAGCTGTTTCCATGGCAGCAAAATATGTGCTGATTATATATCTATTCTGAGACAACTAGTGGAGAAGGCTTCCAAGAAAGTGGAATCATATGTGGAAAGTAATGAGTATGTACTATGTAACTGGAATAATAGAAAGTGATATGAAAACCTTTTATTCAGGGAGTAGAGCATGTGTGTAAGTGTTAATGGTGTAATGAGTGACTGGTCTGATATTAATGTATGAGGTTGTAAGAACACAAAGTGCTGTCAACAATGCAGAAAAAGATTCGTGTTTCTCTACAATAATATAGGACCATACCATGGTTGTTTAATGTATATATGAACGAGGTTATGCAGGTCAAGGTAAGAATACATACTACTTAAGGGTGTAGAATTAGTGTATTGTGTGTGTGTGTGTGTGTGTGTGTATATTTATATAATATATAATTTTTTTTTTACAGGCATCATTCTTACCCAATTTGAGTTTTTAGGAGGATAGAGTATGGATTGAAAATATCATGAAAAGGTGTTGTGATAAAGACAATTTATTAACATTGTAAGATTGAGGATAGTATACAGTATCAAGATTTATTTATTTATTTATATACAAGAAGGTACATTGGGTTTATGAGAGTACAGAGGATTGAAGTTTTACATTCTTGTACAGCCACTAGCACACATAGCGTTTCGGGCAGATCCTTAATCTAACATATAATTTTTAGAAGGTAATTTCTACCTGATGGTTGGTTAGGTTTGGTTGGTTAAGATGGTTTGGTTAGGTTCATAGAATGAATGAGTGAAGATTGGTAAAGAGAGAGAGAGAGTATTGAAATGAATTTGAGGGTAAGAGGAGAAGATGGTAAAGAAGATGCACAGATGGTTAGTGATAGGGAATAAGCTAGAGGGAATCTGTTTAATATGTAAAAAAAAAATTTAGTTAAAGTTGTTTTACACAACTCTCAAGAAGAACTTGATGCCTAGTTGTATGAAGCAGTTGGGTGATGCTTTGGTTTTATTGCCGAGATTTAACAATGCTGGTTCCACATGATGCTGCAATATGTAATGTGCAAGATATGGCAAACAGATTCTTTTTTAATAAATTTAACCTTCTTTTCTGATGCTGCTCTCTTATTTCTTCTTGAATGATGCCTTTACACCCCATAATGATGAATAATTTACCAAATGATGTGGCATTAATAAAATAGTGATTTTCATTTAATAATTACATTGGCCACATTCTATACATACAATATACAATATATTTGTTGTGCTTTAAAACTTTGCAGATGAAACTGTGTTGCCATCGATGTGTGATGTTCATCAGCATGCTGCTCATCATCCATGTGTTCCCCAAGTCACCAGGACTCCCACATCATCACCTGTTCACCCAGGATTCACTATTATAAATGATACACCAGAGGAGACTCCTTTACAGGTAATCGTTAGTATATTCTTTTGAGAGTAAAATGTTTGATCCACAAGTTGGCTTAACACTTAAATATGTAGATAAATATTTTAAATTAAAGATGGGGAGTATATCATTATTATAGCATTAGTATATGCTATAATAAACATTGTATACTAACTATAATAAACTTTTTATTGTATAAACATTTATTAGTTACTCTCCATACCAAAAACACACCTTAATTATTTGACATTTATTGGAAGACAATAAATGCAATGTTCAAATATTTTGGAGCATTGTACATTGCATTAACAAATAATTTGAGAAACACAATGTTGCCACATACTTGCTAATTGAATTATTGAAATATGAAATAATCTCTGCAGAATGAAGCTCATCCTGCATGGACAATTTTGGAAGCTATAGAAAAATGTGGAGGAGTCTCGGATGTTCCTGTTACCATTACTGTTCGCATTCATCGCATCATAACGCACAGGTTTCTTGGGCTTCTGTTGCATTTTCCTCATTCAAAACATATTTTCCACTCAAGCCAAATAACCCAGAGAACAAACCAACTGTAATTATTTTATATTAGTTAATATGCAATTACTGATTTTCCTTTTTGTTATATAACAGGAAAGCATCAGACATGATAAAAGAGTGGGAATTAGTGGGCCAAGATGCTGCTGGAGTGTTCTGTTCATTTAAAATCCCCAACCGTCCCCTCGCCTGTCAGCTGACTGAATTACTGGAAAGAGGAGAAGGTTGCACGCATACATTAACACAAGTCACCATTCATCAGCGCCTTACCAATACTCAGTAAGTTGATTTGATTTGATCAAAATGTGAACACTTATTGAGTGACTAATGAATACCATTGGGTTTAACCACAATAGGATAAAGTGACAGCTAGCCATGCCTGCTAAACTCCTGTTTTTCAGTAGGCACCTGGTTGGATATAATGTAACTAGAAAACAACATTATTGTGGGTTATACATGGTTCCTGGATATTTCAGAATATCCTTACAAGAACGTAAGGATATTCTTGAAGTATGTTAAGTAGTAACCAAGAGATAATGATACAATATTGGGTTAACAATGTAAAATGAAGAACATCTTTGCTACTACAATTTTGTTCTAAGAAGACATAAATTGATGATTCTTTAAGGTGCATTGTAACTGTAATCACATCTGTTTCAATATTAATGTACAGTTATAATAACAAAGTAATATGTAAACTGAACACAATATAGAGTACAATTTAACACATTTATAGATGTGTAGTTTTAACACACTTATAATGACATTAAACAAAGTACATTTTATAAAGTAGAGAGAGTGTTATAATTTTAATAAATTATAATACGATAAATCTTCATATGCACATAGATGTGTCTTGGATTTTCCACAGATAACTTTATCCATAGATAGTTCATGGCAGTGTGATCTAAAACTGTATTGAAAAGAAGTAAAAAAAGAGTCCCATCCAAAAAAAACCTGTCAATTGAGTGATGTGATTGAAATAAATACATGCCATTTAGGAATAAGTATTAAAATCTCTCTGTTCATGGACTTGATTATGACATATTACTTTCAGAAATCCTGCCTTATTCTCTCTGATATCATCACTACACAAAGCCTACCAGACTGAGATATGCAGTGATCCACTCTTGTACCCACTGCTACAGAACCAGACTTCCTGCCCATCTCAGACATACTGCTATGTTTTTAATGTCCGTCTGGGGCTAACTGAACTTTTGCACACTGGAGACGAAGTAGTTATTCCAGTTTCGCTACCTTATTGGTCATTAGATGGAGCACTGCAGGTTGGTGTCTTGATATTTGTACTGTCTAAAAATAAGATGTACTACCCTCTTCGTAAAAATCTAAACAATAGACACCAAAATAACTGTTAATGATTACAGAAGTTTCAAATATAAAAAGGTAAGTGGAAATTTGCATGAAGAGGAATATTAATATCTTAAAAAAAAGAGGTACTGATAAGGGTTTCTTAGGGTGAAAAGCAAAATGAGGGAGATGTCAAGGGGCACTGATAAGAGGCCTACTGGCAAAAAGTTGAAAATAGATAATTTATATTAAATCAGACCTGGGCATTATAAAATTAAGGGTTTCTAAAATTATTAATGCATTTCTGATTTGTTTTGATTTAAATTTAATTAATGCTTTAAAAATATAGATGTATTTAAAGTATAATTTTGTTTGTATACTATCTACAGTAATAAGAACATAAGAATCAAGGAAACTGCAGAAGACCTATTGGCCCATACGTGGCAGCTACTGCCACGTATGTGGCCATAGCTGCCACATACATTTATATCCACCCAAATACATTTATATTTGGGTGGATATATATAAATGTGTATGTGGATACATATATCCACATACATTTATATCCACTATTATTTATATCCACCCAAACTGATGATTATTTGTTCATGTACACTTGTACCAACTAGTGGTATAATATAGTTTCTCCATCCCCCCACAGTGACTAATATTTTCTAATTCTGGCAATTAGACAATAAGCTCTTTGTTACTCATTAAGAGCTTTCCAACTTCTGCAGGTACTTTGTGATGGGCAACGCGGCTGCTTGAGTCTCCACATCCTTTACAAAGTTGATTCATTTCTCTACGTTGTGAACAAGGTCATAAAAACGGAAGACACTCGTGATTCTATAACAACCCAAGACAACATGGATCAAAGCAAGAAAAGGGAGTTCCATAGTAAGAAAGAGGCCAGTAAAAATGATTTTGAGAAACAAAAGTTTCTAGTGAAAAAGATAATGGTTGGAAGTGGAACGGTACTGCCTTCATGGATACCAGAAAGTGGTACTGTGATGCAGAGTGCTCTTCTGCGGGATGTAGTTATATGGAATGGTAAGTGTAAATACAAGAGTGTAACCATTTGGAAGAGTCTGTCAACTCAAAGAGAAATGTAATATTTAAGACTAAATTCTCCCATGTGAAAAATAGTATACTGAATGTAGGTATCCTAAATGTTTTAACAATTAAATTAGCATTACCTAACATGGTAGATAACAATGCTTAATGCACTTAATTTTTTAAGAGGGAATAAATGTTTTGCATTTTATTTCAATGAAAAATCCAGGTACCTAATATAAGTAGGTCTTATATTATTCATAAGGACCTTAACAAAAAATTGCATTTAAATTAATATTAGTTGTTTACCTAAAGTATTGAGAGCATATTCCTTAGTAAAACTTTAGTAAAACTGGGTCAACTGTACTAGAATTGTATTTGCTGTATTCCCTACGTACCAACAGCAAATGCAATTCTTGTAACAGACAAACAAGAAGCAGCAGTCAAGAAACTAACAGAAAAATAAATGTTAGGAAGGATGGCAAGAAAAATAAAATGAAATGATGGAATATAAAGGACTAAAATATTGGGTAGTGTGTATGCTCCTCTACCTGCTCTTCCTAAGCCAGGTAAAATAAATACTGTACATAGTAGGTTTCACTTACTGTTAAACTGATGCAATATTCAAATGATTGAATGAAGGAGGTATGCTTTACTGAAAGTATCTGTGTTCTAAAAGTAATGTGTTTCACAGGGAATGTTATGGTGGATGAGTATACCTTGGTACAGCAGCAAGAAACTTGTATGAAAATGAGCTTATCTGCTTTACACAAGATTCTTTTACCGTTATCTGTTCAGACACAGCATCATGATCTCACTCTCATCTCAGGTCGGTGGTAATTAACATGATTTCTGTTTATTTGCAATAAAATAGTAAATATATATAGCATTATTAGTCCTTAAAGCACTGCCTGAGTATCTAAGCCTTTTAGAACATACTACTAGTTGTTTAAAGTAATAATTCATTGTGTTGGGGGACAGGCAGCCAGTGTATCTATACATGTTAGGCTTATATCGAGGTCTCCCCCAAGGTCCAGTTATTTATCCCCCAGGATGCAATCCCACAACAAGCTGACAAATTCCTGGGTACTTATTTACTGCTAGGTGAACAGACATATTAGGTGATATGAAATCACCTAAACATATTAAATTAGAAGAATGTTTCACTGCATATCATTTCTGTTTATGTACTCAAAACTTGTAAAGATATCATTGCTGACTCAATGTTCAGAAACACCTTGTGTACTCTTGTGCTTATAATACTGTGCTGAGAAAAAATCTTATGTTTTATTTCCAGGCAAAATACTAAGAGTTGATGAAGAAACTGCATACACTTGGCCTACTTGTGGTGAATGCAAAAGTGATAATGTACAAGAGATGCCAAACAGTACAGAAGACTGCTTAGCTTGTGGACAAAAATCTACTATTCCTGGAACAGGGTATTGCCTTGAGGTGTGGCTTGACTGTGGATTAGAGCTTAAACTTGTAGAAGTCAAAGTGAAGGTAAGGCATTGTTTCTCCAGTTACAGCATTGTATCTTTCTCTACTACAATGATTGCCATTTGTCTAACATGCATGTTTATAACACCCGTTTCTGAGCTGTATGGTATTGTCGCTCCAAAGGTTTAGTGATCATCTGTGCCATATTATGGTCAGGCCGGGCACATAGTGTATAAATGCTACAATAGTGTATGTATATAAACTAAATCATGTTAGCCTTGAAGGACCATACATGGTACAACTTCAGTTCAACGAACCATATGAGTCCAACCTAAATTTGTTGCAGTGAGGTATTCTTTGCAACCGGAGATGCCTCTAGGATACATTTCCCACGCTACATAGGATAATTTCTCTTAGCAAAATTTTCATTTCAACCTATAATATAATAGACAACTACCAAATGAATATGTCAGCAAAAAAATAATTAACCACATTTAGCTTATTTCTCCCATCCCCAGCTTCAAAACTTATATTCAAAAGATAGTAGGCCCATACCTAAGTGAACGAAAACCTTGCCAACTCTACATAAAAGCAAACTATAGAATTTGGTTTAAATATCCGTAATTTTTTTCCAGGGCTCCAACTATTTCTTGTAATGGCAAGTCCATCTACCAAAAAAAAAAAAAAAAACATGGTGGAGCCATATTAAGTTTAACATTCATACCCTAATATTTCCCACGCTCTGTAGGCTGATTTCACCGAGCAAAATTTTTATTTCAACAAGTCATATGAAGGAGAACTACCAGGAGAACATGTCCGTAGAGAGATTTAACTACATCTAGCATAATTCCCATGCCATAGCCCTGAAATCCCATTTTCAAAGGAAAAAGGACTCATATTACTGAACAAAAACCAAGGAATCTCAAAATTAAGAATGAACCATTGAATTTGGCTTTTAATATGCTCAGTGGCTTTCCCAAGGCCCCTTATTATTTCTTGTAATGTTGTGGCCATCTATGAAAATCATTAAAACATGATTGAAGGCATATTAAGAGTTATCATTTGCCTAACAAAAAAAAATTCCATAATGCGAAAAAGAAAAAAAATTGAAACACCTGTCTGGAGATTTGATCAAGGTTCCACTGTAAACGTGTTGTGAATCATAGACGATGATAACCACCCAGTGGGGATAACAGTTATTCAAAAAGGTCTGTTCTCATTCCCAGAGGAAATAGATTCCAGCAAATAGGTACATATCTACCTAAGAAGCCCACAATACCCTAACTAGCAATGAAAACCTCCATTTAGTCTTATTGACAGGAAAGAATTGCGGAACTCGGCATAAAGTTCTCGCATTGGTGTACCTTGCAAGAGTGCAAGAGAGTATTTTTGGTGGTAATAAAATATGTGAGCTTCATCATGCACTCTCATTATTAGCAGGGCAATTGCTTTTAACCACATCATCCAAGATATGTAATGTGTTAGTAACTGGGGAAGTATCATTGACACATTATGTAACTGGAACCTATTCATTCTGGGACTGAGAACAGACTCTTCTGATTACATTATATATTTCCCTTTGCTGGGTAGCTGTATTCCACTGTGACATCCAACACCTTCATATGGTTCTACAAGGATGCTGCATGATGTAGTTTACACATATGTGGTCCTGTAGTATCAGTAATTACCTAAGTGATTAATTACTCTCATCCTGCAACTACTTAAACGTAGTTGCTGGATGAGAGCTACACTCGTGATGTCCCATGCCATATACGGTATATCCTGTCTGACTGTGCCATGAGTCTAACAAGTCACAGAGGCTTATTACCTTTGGAAGTGACTGCATAAATTTGCTCAGATAGGAGTTTTTCACAAGCTCAAAACATAATAATTTTCAGTTTTCCCTTATATAGTACTTGCATACCTTTATCTCCAAATATATTCCTGAAATATGTGTTTGGTGGCTGTACATATGTTACATTTATGTTTAAAACAAGAGTAAAACATACTGTATTATAATTTGTTTTAATTAAATGTATGTAATTAAGTGGTGTTTGATTTAACTAGGTCAAAGTTTAATATAAAGGCAAATTCTCTGAAACATTATCATATCTAATTATTCACTTGATCATTGATCTTCAAAAATTGTGCCTACTTATTCATAGTTTAATGTGAATCATAATTTTTTAATTTTAAGGCTGTGAAAACTAATTGATTCAAGTACTAACAACATGATTATTTATACAGCTTTACCAGAGATCTATTGAAAAGCTGCTGTCAGCCATTAGTGGTTTACAAGAGGTTAGTACAGGTCAAATTTTGTTCATAACTTGAATGAAGTTACAGTAATATGAACTTTGATCATATCTTAATGCGTTTAATTAAAAAAAAAATATCAGTAAGTGAAGAAAGAGAAGGTAATGATAAATGTGTATTGTGTTAAGTACTTGAATTATAATTCATTTTTTTCAGGAATATGATGCAGTAACACTTGTAGGGCATCACATCGGACCAATGGTGTGTGTGCTGCTGGAGACCAGGAGAGCAAGACACACTCGCGGCCAAACCTACACGCTTACTGAGCTTCCATATTAGATTTTATTACAAGTTTAATTGTATAGCTTGGTAATACTGTATAGTGATAACATCTCACTTAAGTCATATTGTATCAGACTTCAAGTACATATTTATTTGAATTTGGAATTTGTGTGATTACCTTTATAACTTGTGATGATTTCGGGGCTCAGCGTCCCTGTGGCCCAGTCCTCAACCAGGCCTCCTTTAGAGTGGAACAAAAGTGAGGAGACCAGTGTGGAGCAAAAGTTGTGTAACATTTTGCAGAACAGTCTACATTTGTGCTTTACTTTGCCATCTAAAGTACTGCATTGGGGATTTCTTACCTTTTGATTATATATGCACACTACATGCATCTCCTTTATTTTACTGTTTATAACCACACCACCTTTATCTTACTGTTTATGCAGACACACACACACATCTCCTTTATCTTAGCCTTCATAAGTGCTTCCACTTATCTTATTCTGACATAGAAATCTGTGTGCAAATATATACCTCTATATACAGTATTGGTAATTAGTATAATTTTGATATAAAGAATGTACAGTATTACAGATTGATATATTTTACTTATATATTTGTCATTTGTTGTGTGGTGAATTAAATATTTTTGTATACACAATTTATTTGCTTTTACCCACTACCCTAGGTAACTAGAACAGTCATAATCAAAAAAAGATTTTTTCAATATGAATAAAATATAGTTGGTTCAAGAATCTGCAATTATTTGATACACTCTATTATTCATTTCAATCAATTTTGATATGGTCTTGTATTATATTTGAATGTGTCACTGAAGCTATGAAGCTAAGTGCAATAGTCTTCAGTTTTCACAAAATAATTATCTCGATTATATGAACATTTAACCTAGCTGGAAGACTATATAAAATCAATCTTTCCATACTGCATTCCAGAACTGTATGCACTGGAACAGATGTACCTACTCTACAAGAAAGCAGTATTATTCACTATTTAAGTCAGTGTCTGGGATGCTCCCGGACGCAGGTTCGAATCCTCGTAACGGCCCTTGTAGATTTGTTCATTTGATGCATCACGTTAGTGTGATCTCTGTGTGTTTCAGTATTATTCATTTATTCACATTGAGCAAAACAGTCAATTTAGTCTCACATTCTAATTGTTATAAATCCTCTCCCACTTATTTTTTTTTTCCAAAAGACTTGATTTAACAGCAAAGCTTGTTTCTAATGTACAATCATTCACTTTTACAAAAAAAAAAAAATCGCCACTATGAGATAAAATGTATGATGATTGAATTTATTATTTGTACAGTATGGTACCCTAAATATGCATTCTTTTACCTTAAGTACTTTTTTTTTGTTGAATTAATCCATATATTCAGGCCAAGTAATTGCCAGATTTATTGGAGTTAGAGGCAACAATATCATTAACTTTAATGAACACTGCATTGATGCAATGCGTGATGCAACATAAAAGTGCACTACAACTGCACTGCAACACAACATTTGAGTACAGTACACCACATGGTAACAGTGCAGCCCGTCCTCTCAGACATTCACAACGTCACTAAACTGATGTACTAAACCAGGTACCAAAGGTACTGTAACGTACCCGAGAACCCACGAATACAGAACAGGACATCACGTCAATTTTGCGAGCCACTTGATCTTTAGCACAGCAGTTTTTGTCCTTACGGGATTTATACATCAACATCACAACACATCGTTAAGTGCATCACAACACAGTGCTGAGTGCATCACAACACAATTCTGAGTGCATCACAACAATGCTGAGTGCATCACAATAACATTGAGTGCATCACAACAATGCTAAGTGCATCACAACACAATGCTGAGTGCATCACAACACAACACTGAGTGCATCACAACAACAGAGTGCATCACAACACAGAGTGCATCACAACACAATGCTGAGTGCATCACAACACAATGCTGAGTGCATCACAACACAACACTGAGTGCATTACAACACAATGCTGAGTGCATCAGATGGATCAGTAGACCAGTAGGGACAAGAAACAGGAGCTGCAATTAAAGCAGGAAACTCTGTAAATAGTTGGAGACTCAAATGGGTGCTCGACTTTACAAATAGAGATGCTAGCCATTCAAAAGGCTTTGGAACATCTCTTGCTGAACATCGACAACATGTTATCATAAATACAGATTCGAGAACCGCCATTGAAACCTTTCAACAAGAACACATATGTGATAACATCCATCTGATCACAAATGTCATATCATTAATGCAAACACTCAAACGACAAGGCCGTCGGGTACTTATCAACTGGGTGCCAAGTCATGTGGGAATAATAGGAAATGACATTGAAGACAAAGCTGCAAAACTTGCAACTAAGAGAAGAAATGTAGACATTTACATACCACAGAGAATCTATCACAGATTAAGAAAGTAATTAGAAACAGAGCAATGCTAAAGATGTACAGTGACCATAACACAGCAGTTGCAACATCAGGATCTGTGGGTTGGTACAAGAATTCAACCAACTACGAACCACTTAGTTTGATGAAAGGGAGCAGTAGAACAACAGAAGTACACTTCATCGCATCAGGCTTGGATACCCATGAGCATGGGAAATAGGCTTACAGTTCCGGAAGATGAGAGGAAATGTCAGCACTGTGAAGAAATGCCCGACAGACCACTGGAACATTATCTAACAAAGTGCACAGTTATAAACCCATTAAAATTTCAACTTAGATTCAAAAGAGCAGAAGTTGTTGTTAAACACATATGACAAAATCTTACTGAAGCGACCATACAAGTCATAAATACTCATACTCCGCCCAACTAAAACAGAAACAAGCAACATTGTTGATGTGATGACTTGTATTGAATTTTGTAACTAGCTCATCAAGATTGTAACTTGCTTAGCTAAATGAATTGTGGGGTTCAGTCCCTGAGCCCATTATGTGCCTCTGTAACCCTTTCCACTACCGCCCACAAGATGGGTATGGGGTGCATAATAAATGAACTAAACTAAACTAAACAAGCAACACTTAATGGGCCAGCCAGAGGCTTAGGGCCCGCGCAGGAATATCCCTACAAAAAAAATAAATCACAACAACACTGCATCACAACACAACACTGAGTGCATCACAACACAACACTGAGTGCATCACAACACAACGTTGAGTGCATCACAACACAACACAACACCCTGGTGCCCCGCTCCAACCCTGCATCTCCCACAATATCAATAATGGTCAGCTATTTACTCTCGGAAACCCTTCCATCCAATTGCCCCTCTCCTGAGACCAGTTTTATCGTTCACAAGTGGTCAGTATTGCACTTTTCACGGACCATTGGCCAAATCGCGTTGAAATATTGTGACATAATGGCCCTGGTGCATATAAAAGTCTCGGGGCAGGAGGGTGCTTCCCCTCGACGAGCTCAAAGACTGTTTCTCTTCCTCGAGAGATATGAAACCGTGCCGTACGGCGCGAGGGCACGTGGGTCTGTGTGTGGCTCAGAGCCTCATATTACAAGGCTGCTAGCTGTGATGTGTCTCCGTTAACCGTGTATAGTTACCTGAGACTGATACCTAACTATGATATAATGAGGGCCGGATCTGTCGTCCTTAATGCCTCTCATACGTTACCCAGTGTAAAGGAGACTGTCTGTAGTCTTCACCCATTTCTGTTGTTATAGCTGCTAAAGGCTACAGCAAAGTTGATTCTGCTCGTGTGTATAGTGTCTTGTAGATCACTGCTCGTGTTTATTCCCAGATTAAAATCAAATTAAAATACAATTGAATAAACTATAAGTCGGGACTCCCGGCAGAAGGATTTCGTGCTGGCGCTCCCCACATGAATATTGAACACATGAAATCATACATGACAGCGAGACGTATGTTTATGTGTCCCGTGTGCGAGTGCCGACCACAACATTGATACTTTATGAGGGATTTTCTATCTGGGCGTTTATGGTGCAGTTATAAATCTATATATATTCATGCGCATACATGTTTCTCCGTCACTTGGTGGATATTACCGTAGCCGAGTAGCCTGTTACGGCGGCAGACGAGGGTGCAGGTCGGGATCATTGCACACTGGTGTCATTGCAATGTTATGCCAATGACTTCACTACAACAATCAACCTTGTCACGAGGAAGGGTTGATATAAACCTTTGAACTCTTTTCCTCCATAGTTGTGGTCTGGGGACACTCCCTCTCACCACAATGTATGATACAATATCATCTTCTCTAATATATCATTGCGTCCATATATATCGACTGGCTGGTATATATACAAAACATGATCTGTTCATTATAAACGACTTCCAGATTTTGTATTATAAAAATTTTGATTAAAAGCAACTATTAAAAAAGAAGTAAATTATGTTTTGTGAAACATAAACTTGGATGACATCTAAAGTATCCTACCTTAAGCTATTAACTCACACATGCAGTATTCTGTGCAACTAATTCGCCTAAGTGTTTTATAAGCTAGAAATACAACTTCAGTATAATTTACTTCTGTCGCCATTTTATGCTGATGTAGTAATGTGAATTCAACTTCTGTTACACTTTAACTATCATTACGTTTATTCTGTATTCAATTGCGTTCTTTTTTTGTTTGACTTATTTAGGATCTGGCGAAACACTGTGGGTGTTAGTAGCCTTGTAATAACGAACTACTTATCACTAATGTATCTACTCTTCTAAATCATTGTACTTAGTGGGGTAGAAATAGCCTAAGCTACTCTATCCCTTTGAGATGTATTTCTTTCTTATCTCAATAAACATACTTGAACTTGAACTTGAATCATTGTACTTTCTTGTATATATAATGAAATAAATAAACAAATTTATAAAAAATAAAATAATGTTGATTCAGGAAGTGCAGGATTAAGCTGTGATTGCATGTTTATGGTTTTACAAAACATTGATAAAAAACCATTAATGTAGCTCAAACCCACCATCTCTTATGGACGACGACAAGTAACTTGTATGAAATAAATAATTATAATAATACTAATTATTATTATTATTATAGTGATAAACATCTTTAGATTAGAATTTCTACTGAGGCTATATGAAATATGATCCCTGACAGTATGGCGTCTGTAGAAAATTTGAGTGATATTATCACTCAAATTATCATGGCCACCATGATATGATAATTTCATATTGGCCATGATAATTTCAATGGAAATTATCAATGGAAATTTCAATGGAAACCTTTCTTTGACAACCGTACCAGCGCTTTTAAGTTTCACTAAGAGTCTTCTGTCTGGTCTCCAATCGTCGGTGACCCCGTTAGGCAAGTGATGTGGGGGTTGCGATGAACCTAACTCCCATACCACAGTACCAATTCACTGCTAGGTGAACAGAGATATGGGTGAAAGGAAAAGTGCCAAACAATTTCTGTTCTGCCCGGGATTTCCGACTGCGAGTCGAGAACGAACCCAACTGTACTACAGAAACCAAGCAGGGTCTATAGGTTTTCTTTCACCTAATGCGTCTGTCCACCTAGCAGTAAATAGAGACTCGGGAGTTAGGCAACTATTGTGGGGCTGCATCCTGGGGAAGGGTCAGTTGCTCCACCTTGAGGGGACAAGCCTAAAGTGCAGAGATATACAAAGCTTTCCTGTCACAAAACGAATTATT